TCCCAACTCACCAACCAAGTCACGATGGGGCCCCACATCCTGAGAGTTCCAGTTCCAAGACACAGGACTTGGCCAATTAGTGAAGCCTTCGTGATGCTTTGCTGTCAGGACCACGTACCTGTGGACATGAAAACAATTATGAGCAAAGGAAGTGGGCAGTGGGCTATGGGCATGAACTTACCCAGCATGCCTGAGGCTTTTGAAATTCAGGTTGGGAGAACTCGCTGTCTAAAAGTGGAGCGAAGGTATAGTGACCACTGAACCATTAAGGTGTCTTAAGACCAAAAAAAGAAGCAGGCAACTCCACAAAATATAATAGAATTTATTATAGGTAATTTACTTACAAGGATGTAGGGTCAGAGTGGACAAATGAACCTGGCAGTTGTGCAACTTACTCTCCACTGCTCTACAGTTATTACGGTAAATGTTTTATAGTATAGCTGAACTACTAATGATAGACAAGGCAAAGGGACAAAGATAGGAATCCTACCTCCTAGGGGTGTTATGATGGGTAAATAATTGCTCAGAATTGACACCAACACCTAGTTTGATAGTTGTCTCGGTTGTATACCATCCTGGCCGTTTACTGACAGGAATCTTTATGATTACATTGGGTAGGCTTACAGAGCACAGCTAGTCATTCACTACAAGGTCTGTGTATGCTGGCCGGGACCAGTTAGGTTAGTCAAAGTTAAAGCTTGATTAGTGAGAGAGCGAGGGCTTACAAAGACGGAGTCAGTTTGTTCACATCAATATCTGTACACTCGCCTACAGGAAATGTACTGTATGAGTTGCTGCAGGAATCAAAGCAAATTTGAGGAAACCNATCTGTTTTGGGTGACAAAGATTGTAAGTAATAGGAGCTGGAACTGAAATGTAAATCTGCCTGATGCGAACGCCCATGCTTTACTCCATAATTAGGACAGCAAGTAGACTCTAGGAAAGGTTGCCTGTTTAAAGAGACAAGATATAATGCGGTCTATGGTTTACTGTGAACAAGAAACTGTACTAGGCAATTTATATTCATTACCTCATTCATTCTTACGACCCTATGGTGTATATTATCCCCATTTCACAGATAAGGAAACAGATCTAGAAAGATTAAGTAGTTTGTTTAAGGCCATACAGCTGGTAAGAAAAAAAGAACTGGATTCCAGATCCATTTCTATGTGACTCCAAGACTGCTGGTCTCTTACAACTGTACTACTTCCTGAGAGAAGTCATCTGAAGGCAGAGGGTCCCTCCCACTCCCCCCCACCCCCATAAAAAATGACAGTCCAGGCAGAGATGGCTGCCTCTTAAGTGTTAAATATCCACCATCCTCTAGGAGCCCCCAGGTGTGAGAAGGGCAAACTAGGAATAAGAACATGGTGAAGACTAGTGACAAATCCCGAAGTGGAAGTGATCATTTTAAGAATATTGATAATAATAACAACACGTATTCTGTACTAGCCATGGAAACAAGATACTTTTCACGTATTACTCTGAGCCCTACTTAGAAGGCATTATTATCCCCAATTTATACGGTGAGAATCTGAGGTGCAGAAGGGTGATCTGTTTAAGGCTTGTAAGTAACAAGAGCCAGGATTCAAATGCAAACCTGCCCGGCGCCAAATCTCAGGCAGGATCTGAGACCCTGTTGCCCTCTCCAAGGTCCTGACAAAGAAATTAGCATGCAAGGAGGGAACTGATGATCTGACTTACTACCATCCTGGGTTTTGTTTGATTGTTTCATTTGTAAATGTAATAAATTTCCACATTATGGAACTTGTGAAAAGTGGGAAGAAAAAAANCCACAACTAGACTAAAGAACAAAATGACAGCAACTTGTCTGTTCCCCTTCCCCCAATTCCCCAGCACTGTTCCCATCCCCCCAATACCCCAATAAAAATCTTAAAAAAAAAATTGTCAGGAGCCAGATTTAGTTTACATTCAACCAATATTTATTATGTGTCTAACTGGGCCACGTGCTGTTCTTAGGGTTGGGGAGACAGCAATGAGCAGACCCAGACCCCTGCCCTCATAAAGCTGACAATTTATTGAGAGAGACAGATAATAAACAACGTAAATATCTGAAATATGTCAGGCCAGGTAAGTGCTAAGAGAAGGAGACAGCAGGGAAAGCCCTGCAGTGTGACAGGGGCATGCTGCAATTTTAGATGGGGTGGCGGGGACTGCTGCCCTAAATAGATGACGTCTGAGCAAGGACCTGCAGAAAGGACGTCACTCACAGGAGTTAGCCATGTGCAAATTACAGACAAAGGGAATGGCAAGAAGGGACTACTTCTAAAAATAATTTCCTAATGTGAATATTGCTCCCAAGCAAATCCTCTTTCCAAATGCATGAGAAAGCATTCAGAACAAGAGTGGGTAGACCAGGGTCTGCAGCATCCTTTCCAAGGGTCCATGTCTGAGCCACCCCAGCATGAGGATCTTAGGGAGAGAACCATGATGCCATGCCGTTAAAAAGTCCCACACATTTGGCAAGTCCCAGAAAAATACTTTTTTTTAAAAACTTGTGTTGTTGTTGTTGTTTTAATTGGGGAACAGTGTGTTTTTCCAGGACCCATCAGCTCCACGTCGAGTAGTTGTCTTCAATCTAGCTGTGGAGGGTGCAGCTGAGCAGCCCATGTGGGGATCGAACCGGCAATCTTGGTGTTGAGAGCACTGCGCTCTAACCAACTGAGCTAACGGGCCACCCAAAACGACTCTTAATTTGCCTCTATTTGTTACATAGGATCTCTTCCCTTTTTCCTTCTTTCCCATTTTCTGAGTTTAGTAATAGTTACCCAATAAGAGACTTATGAATCTACCAAGATAGCTTAGTTCAAACTATTCTTTTTTTTTTTTTTTAGCTGAGCCATCCTGCCACCTGTTGGCAGCTCAGCGGCTGCTCAGCTTGGGCCAGGACTCAAACCACTGTTGCTCAGAGCTCAAACTCTTGAGTGAGCTCTTAACCAACTGAGCCACTCGGC